AAAAAAGTTTATCTTAAAAAGAATCTGTTAAAGAAAAAAACTTTAACTCATTTATGGAGCAGAAGTTTAATTCAAAGTTTACACGGCTGGTAAAAGGAAAACCCAGCACTTGCTATACAATATTCTGCCAGACAGAAATTGTTCAAAAACGTTAACCCTGATCATCAAAATGCCACATATGTTTCCTCTTGTCCTTAATGCAAGAGCAGTGCTTGGTAAAAAAAAAAGACACTTTTGTACTTATTTTTCTACATACTAAAGCAAAAAAAGGTTTGCTTATTTTTTTTCTAAATTCATAGTCTTTTATGGTGAGCCCAAGTATGATATGTGATATAGAAAAGACGCGTGAACAACCGTAAAAAACAATTGGTCTGATTTATCTAAAAAAACCGAAGCAATAAATGAGGAGATGTGTCCTAATGGAACAAATCCTCTTTCAAATACAGTTTCCACACTACAGGTTAGAATGTGAGAGCTGATACACGATTGGTTGATAGAGGCAGTAGTCCTATTTTTCCCGCTTCAGTTTTTTTGAACTCAGCAGTCTCACTGGTTTGTACTGACTTCCAGTATATTGCCGACCTTGGGCACTATGGGCATTGTGTGTCCATAGCAAAATAAAGGGCTATTATTGGCTTCAATATAGATGTATATTTTTTACCTTGTTTTTGCCTTTTTAATATATTTTTTTTATGTTAGATTCAGTTTGTTTGAAAAAAAAAATCAAAACACTTTTTTTTACATGTAATACTTCTTCATGGCACATTGCCATATATTATTTTTTTTGACCTATGAGAATTTTGATTTGGTGGCAGAATTCAAGGATGTTATTGGGTGGGATGTCATATGAACGGGTGCTGCTAGCAATTTAAAAGAATCATTAAAAACATAAGAATTCTTTGGAATCCGTTTGATATATACATACATATAAAGCCTTTGCTGCCGGAGTCCATAATGTTTTTCTGGCTCTTCTGGTGTTAAGAGTTAAGTAGGTGACCTTGCTTGAATTCCAATACGTGGAAGAGGAACAAATAGGTTTGTGTGCTGTATGTGAGCGTCTGTGAACAGAATTGGCATCAGTGAACAATAAGGAGTTTATGACTCTTCAACGCCTGTTTGAATGCCTTAAACATTGTTATGCAATTTCAACTGGGGTGGAAATTAGGGCTGAATGCTGGGAAGACGTGAATACAGATGAAACAACAGCACACTTGTATGGGCTTTGAAGGTGCATTGAGTTTCTTTGCAGTTTCAATTTCTACTGTTCTGTAGAAATAAATAAATCTCAGAAAGAAATAAATGCTTTGCTTGTGTTTTCTTTTTTTTAATTGGGTGGTCTGAGAGTTTATTACCGATTCTGAACTTAAGTGTCTAGTCTCCTATGATCTGAGCAGTTTCAGTCAAATGCTGGATTACAATAAGGAACTCTAGAGTCTTAGTAACACAATAAAATGGTAATAAACTCAGCAAAACAAAAACACACAACATACCTAAGATATCCGCTTCTCATTTCAAAACTTAAGAAATATCTAAACCTAAGAATAAATATTAAATATTTTGCAGTTTACCAGTCCTTTAATATGGTGGTTACATCAGTTTTTCCTTTTTCCTGGCTCAGTACATGTTATGCAAGTACTGGAAAATACCTGTTTACCTTGCCAGAAATGTAACTTCCTGTGTACTGAACTGATAACTCAAAAATTACATAGTTACATAGTATTTGAGGTTGAATAAAGACATATGTCCATCAAGTCCAACCTACCTGCTTTGTTTACCGCAGCCTGACACTGCGAGCTATTATTCAGCCCGTGGTCTACAATGACCCCCAAATCGGTTTCCCTTTCTGACTTTCTGAGGGGAGCTCCCAAATGTTATGCTTTCTCTGCTATCTTCTGTGAACTACAAAGCAATGCCCAGGGTAACAACCTCTTCTCCTTACATACAGTACAAAAGCCTTTGCTGCCGGAATCCGTAATGTCACCCTAGGACAGGAAGTGTGTCCTTGGCAAGTTTATCAGGTGAAAAAAAAGGGAAAAAAGCCCTTTATGCAGCCAATTCATCTGAAAACTGCTATGCTGCAAACTGTTATATTTTGGGGGGAATTAGACAGGCTTTAATTAAAATGTTGTTGCAGAGAGTTAAGATTTTGGAATATTCATAAAGATTTCAGAAAAGAAAATGCGAGCTAAAATAAGATTGTACCTTTTTATTCTCTGGAAAATAAGATGAAGAACCTGATTGGTCCCCATGGGAAACGTTTTCAGTTTTCTATTTCTTTCTATTATGGCATAAGGTACACATGGGATGATAAAATGGGAACATGGAGAACTTAAACATGACCACACATGGGGGATGATTTACAAAACCTGGATGAAGTGTGAAGCGGTTTCTCATAAAAACAATCAGGGTTATTCACAGAAGGATGAAGAGTGTGGAGAAGGCAGGAGAAGTGAACAGTCGAGGACAACATAGCTGAACTGGAATGTGAGCTGAATTGGAGAATTTTGACCAAATCGGCTATGTTGTCCTAGATTGTTCACTTCTCCTGCCATCTCCAAACTCTTCACCCTTTTGTGAATAACCCTGTATGTCTTGCTACATTTGAAAGATACATCCTGGTCAGTTTCTCTAGGCAGTCTCTCCATTTATACTCCAGTACCATAATGGGGTTGCTGTTCACTTAGTTAAGTAAATGTTCGCTTTTCAAACTAGGTTAACCTAGGTTTTTATTTTTATTAAAGGTTGAAGATGTGTTCACTTTGAATCAACTAACCATATGCTAGCAAAAATATTTTTTTTGTTTTTCAGAATAACGGTTAAGAGTAAAATACAATTGAGGGCAAAATACCTGATGGTTAGGGAATCAGGGCTTTCACAGGATTTTTTGTTTCTAACCTGATGCTGAAGACCCAGGTCCTCGTCCGACTCAATAGCGTTGACCCCCCTCGGGCAGGGACAAGTCTTTGGGCGGAGGCACTACCCGAATCTGGGCGCAATGTCATCTACACTGCTGATACGGTTGTTGTTACATACAGCTATACCATTATTCTCAGGGATGCTCACCTGACGCTGCCTTTGTATGTTGTTTTCATTTTCTGTCTGTGAAAAACTCAATAAACAATATTTCTGTAAAAAAGAGTAAAATACAATTGGAGTACTCTAGGTAGGTTGTCGCAATACATGTCCATAAAAATGTAGAACCATACTCCACATTTGTGGCCAAGACATCCAGGCCCTACTAAGATGTGAGAGAATAAAAGACCTGTGTATCCGTGTAAAAAACCCAGGGGCTCCATAGGGCCACATATTTATCTTGAGTGTCATATAGCTATGAAAGAACAAAAGGTCTGCTTATCCCTGTAAAGAACCAGTGGCTCCATAGGTTTTATAATGGTCTGGCCCTCTAGCAACTTCAGCGCGAAATTATAGCTAATTTGCCTACAAACGTCAGGTGGTCATAATAATCTGGCCATTCAGTGTATATCTTGAGTGTCCTATAGATGTGAGAGAATGAAAGGCCTGTGCATCCATGTAAAGGACCCAGGGGCTGCATAGGGCCACATTTATCTTGAGTGTCATATAGATGTGAGAGAATAAAAGGCCTGTGTATCCATGTAAAGGACCCAGGGGCTGCATAGGGCCACATTTATCTTGAGTGTCATATAGATGTGAGAGAATAAAAGGCCTGTGTATCCATGTAAAGGACCCAGGGGCTGCATAGGGCCACATATTTATCTTGAGTGTCATATAGATGTGAGAGAATGAAAGGCCTGCGTATCACTGCACAGAACCAGGGGCTCCATAGGGCCACATACATATCTTGAGTGTCATATAGATGTGAGAGAATAAAAGGCCTGTGTATCCATGTAAAGGACCCAGGGGCTGCATAGGGCCACATATTTATCTTGAGTGTCATATAGATGTGAGAGAATAAAAGGCCTGTGTATCCATGTAAAGGTCCCAGGGGCTGCATAGGGCCACATATTTATCTTGAGTGTCATATAGATGTGAGAGAATTAAAGGCCTGCATATCCATGTTAAGGACCCAGAATTTTGAGATCAAAGCAACTGAAAATGTTGGGGTTATACACATTTATAGTAAAAAAGTAATAGGCTGGGCCTATCAACGAATAGTTAATTAAATTAAAGCCTGTCACAAAATAATTCCAACTGTACTAATATAGGGTACTATACATAATGCCAACACTTTTCAGATTAGGCAGCTTTAGAACAAATATTGGCTAAACTTTATCTGTACGAGGTAAAGCCAACTATCCTACACAGCTACATCTGCTTTGGTCAAGTAAAGAAAACCAAAAAACTCCATTCCGGCCCGTCGCTCAATAAACATTATTATTTAGATCACAGAAGAATAACAGGGGTCACAAACGTGACCTAAACCTATGAACAAAGTTAACATATATTGCAGCTTAGCAGTCTGTAGATGTGGTGGCTGCATTCGTTATAAGCGTTTAGAGTTCCGCTTTGAGTTATTTGTGCGGAGTGGAGAGCTAAGTCAGCTCCTGTTTTTTTATATGACTTTGATACAACACCAAGATCTCCCTGGCACAATTTCCAGCTCTATTCCTGTCCACCTCAGAAAATGCTGTGTCCCCACCCCCCTTTGTATGTTCCAGTACCTGTTTTTGCATCCTCCATTATTGTCCAAAATGTAATATAAACAACAAATTTCAAATGAGAAAATAGAAACCCCGCATAATACTGTTACAGGTCTGCAGACCCAGGAATTCAAAGACAAACCTTTAGAAGGAATTAATAGTTGGATTAACTCTCCAACATCTACCAAAAACTGAAATATTGGATTTGGGTGGCCCATTTAACAG